ACGGCTCCAGTGAGGTTGGGACAGATAATGGGGACCAGTATAGACTGATGAACAGGCGTAGATACAGAGGCAGAGCAGCATTGAACAGACTGTCAAACTACAGCGGGAAGCCTGGGGAGGGTTTGGGGGGGGAGGGCGTTAAGAGATGAACCGAAGGACTTGTATGCATGCATATAAGAATAACCAATGGACACAAGACACTAGGGGGTAGGGGTGGCCAGGGGAATCTCAAGGGGGGGGGAGGAGACATATGTAATACTCTTTGTAATACTTCAAGAAATAAAAATTATTTTTAAAAAAGGTTCTGCCAAGGGACACCCCCTCCAACACTTTGGAGCTTTTCCATTTCCCACACCCCCATTTCTGGCCGTTCCCAAGGTCTTCATTTGGTCAAACTGAGGGGGAGACTGACGAGATTGCAAATAGCACACACATGCTCCAGTTGTGTCCACTTCCTCCATAATTAAACAAATGGTCACCAGCTTAGGCCTCTAAGGGTTCAGCTGAAGAGTTGCTTTCGGGTCAAGATTTGCTGCTGTTGGCACAAACTTTACCTCCCCCCCTTCTCCTTTCTCCTTAATCACACTGACCTTTAGCTTCCTGCAATGAACCAAATCCCTTCCCACCTCCGGACCTTTGCACATGCTGCTCCCTCTGCCATGAACGCCTTCGCTTAGGTAACTCCTATTCACCCCTTGAGCAGATTATTGCAATTAGAAGGGGGAAAAAACCCCACTGTTTTTCCATTTGTAATAATACTAGAGGCCCGGTGGGGTCCCTCAGCCTGGCCTGCGGGGATTGGGCTGAAACCAGCTCTCTGACATCCCCCGAGGGGTCCTGTATTGTGAGAGGGTGCAGGCCAGGCCGAGGGACCCCACCTGTGCACAATTGGGGCCAGGGAGGGACCATGGAGGGCTCCAGGGCGTGTCCAGTCCATCTCACCCAGTCCTGATCGGCCAGACCCCAGCAGCAAGCTAACCTACCAGTTGGAGTGTCTGCCCCCTGGTGGTCAGTGCACATCATAGCAACTGGTTGAATGGTCCAATGAATGGTGGGACACTTAGCATATTAGGCTTTTATTTTATAGGATGACCAGCTTCATAGTGTTACTATGAGGATCAGAGGAGGTACATAGTTTAAAACACTTGGCACAGTGTTTCAGAAAGTTCTAGGATTCAAATCAAGAAGCACCTCCCCAATGAAGCCCTCCCTGACCACCCTCCTCAGGTCAGGTTCCCATGTGTTATCCTTTCTCGTGGATCTCTCCATTTGGGAAGGGGGGAATATACCATAAATATGATTAAATAACTGCTTGCAATATTATCTGCTTTATGTTTCTCTTTCCCATTAAGACCATGACTCTGGAAGGGCAGAAATGGTGCCCAGCACCAAGCCCTCCCCGTCAGAAGCACTTGATACATTCTGTCAAATTAATGAGTAGCCCTAGCTGGTTTGGCTCAGTGGATAGAAAATCGGCCTGCAGACTGAAGGGTCCCGGGTTTGATTCCGGTTAAGGGCATGTGCCCAGGTTGTGGGCTTGATCCCCAGGAGGAGGCATGCAGGAGGCAGCCAATCAATGCTTCTCTCTCATTATTGATGTTTCTAGCTCTCTCTCCCTCTCCCTTCCTCTCTGAAATCAATAAAAATATATTTTAAAACAAAAAAAAATTAATGAATGCATGAATCAAATAAGCTGCATCTGTGACTCAATTATACTAAAGTGTCAGAGGCGACACTTCTTATCACTGTTATCAGCCTATCCATTTCCTCCCTTTCCACACCTTTTTATAAAGACAAAGGATAAAATGTCAAAATGCTCACACCACTGCACAAACAAGCCACATCTGGCCAGGCCAAGATGGCCCCAAATCTCAAACAGAATTATTGGTGGGTAGGCAGCGCCCCCATGTGATCGCTGGGAATGTTTGATTTCGTGTTTATTACAATGCTATTCTGTTTGTCCTTCCAGATCAGCTCCCTGGCTCCTCCCCCAAGTCTGTGCCTGGGTATGGGCTGCTCCCTTACCGGCCTTGTTTTCTGATGCAATCACTGAGTGCTCCAGCAGGAGAGGGGAGGGTGGGAGGAGAGAGAGGGCATAGGCTGGATCTAGTGACTCAATTTTAGAGTTCAGAGGTGAAACCATGTAACTTCCCAGGCTAGGTCATAAAAAGACACTACTTTTGCCCTAGCCGGTTTGCTCAGTGGCTAAAGTGCCAGCCTGCAGTCTGAAGGGTCCAGGGTTCGATTCCAGTCAAGGGTACATGGTGGTGGGCTCCATCCCCAGTAGGGGGTGTGCAAGGGACAGCCAATCAATGATTCTCTCTCATCATTGATGTTTCTCTCTCTCCCTCTCCCTTTCTCTCTGAAATCAATAAAAAATATTATTTTAAGAAAGAAAAGAAAAGAAAATTTAAAAAGATACAACTTTCACCTGGTTTTCCTTCTCTTGGATCGCTTGCTCTGGGGAGGCCCACTGCCAAAATGGGTGTATCCCCAAACACCTCCAGAAGGGAGAAATTAAGGCATTCCACCAACAATCAGCATTCACCTGCCAACCATGTGATGAGCCATCTAGGGAGCAGATCCTTCAGATGACTGACCCCAGCCCTTCAGATGACTGCAGCCCCCACCGACACCTTGATTGCAACCCTGAGAGAGACCCTGAGCCAGAAAAGCTTGGGAAAGATGCTCCTGGATTCTTAACCCACGAAAACTATGAAATAACGCTTGGGGAGATTCGTTAGGCAGCAGTAGAGTAGACAACGACTACGACTACAACCGCTAACAATAGCCCCATGCTTCTGCCCCAGGGCCTTTGCACTTACTATTGGCTCTGTCTGGAACTCCCACCCACACACACCTCCTTCAGGTCTTCCCTCAGATAGTACTTCCCACCACCTTCCCTGACCCCCTTTCTCCATCTCCCTACGTCTGTCTACCTCGCTAGAAGGCCAGCTCTTTCTTTTGTCCCATGCTCTGTCCACAGTACCTGAAACAGTGCCTGGCACAGAGTAAGCACTCCATGTGGTGGCCATTATTATGAGAATCTAACATTCCTGATTCTTGTCATAGTTAGATCAGTCTCCCACCTGTTTCCTGCCCAGTGGGTGTCCACCCTAACTAGCTGTGACCTCCCCCTCCATTGGTTAAGTAGCAATTGGCAACAATAATAAGAAAGCCCCTGCATGTCTCCCCACTTCCCTCTGGTTAAAAATCCCAGGTCCTCTGTACAACCTACAGGCCCCCATCCCTGCCTTAAAATTCCACCATCAGCCACACAGAATCCTGAACTGTTTACAATCACTAATAGTCTCCACAGCCACAAAGCTTTGGGGATCAAGCAGAAAACGTTAGCGTAGCTATTTTTAAAAATATGTTTTTATTGATTTCACAGAGGAAGAGAGAGAAACATCAATGATGAGAATTGTTGACTGCCTCCTGCACACCCCACACCAGGGATGGAGCCCAAAACCCGGGCATATGCCCTTGACCGGAATTGAACCCGGGACCCTTCAGTCTGCAGGCTGACACTCTATCCTATCCGCTGAGCCAAACCGGCTAGGACAGAGTAGCTATTTTTAATCTCATATTTGTTTGCTAAAGAATATCTTTATGTAATAAACATAGTATTATAAAATAATCTACAGAATTTATTGGCGTAACTGTACTTGTATATTATTTGTAAGTAAATATCCAGCTGGGGGTGAAGCTTCAACATTTTTACTGATGGGGTGCACAATTGGAAAACAAATTTAGAATCATTTATCCTAATGCAATTGCCCTCCGCCCCCTGACCCCCGCCCCCGTCCCCCACCCCCTACCCAGGACACCTGGCATTGTCGGGAGACATTTTCAGTTGTCAACCACTGGGGGAGGGAGGGGTGCCTCTGGCATCTAAGGGTGGAGGCCAGGGATGCAGGTCAACATCCCACAGTGCACAGAGCAGGCTCCAGCACAAATAACTCTCCAGCCCAAAATGTCACTAGTGAGGAGGTTGAGAAGCCTGGCCTAATGCACCGGACTCTCTCTTGATTCCGGCGTCTTGGCACCGGCTGCTTCCTTCTCCCCACTCTTCCTCACCTAGCTAAAACCTCAAAGCTCAAGCCGCCCCCTCCTCCAAGAAGCCATCCCTGCCGCCTATAAGCTGGGCCAGAGCCCCTCCTAAGGGCCCCTCCAGCCCCCTGTGCTGAGCGGGTAAGAATCAGCTTGGACCCAGGGAGTCTCAACCTTTAGATTTACAATGCAAATCCCTGCAGCCGCTGACCGCCGGGTTCGGCCGCCTGCTGGGACCAGGTGCTTTTCACCAGCACCTCCCCCATGCCCCAAGGCCTGTCCCTGGGAACCCGCAGCGGCGGCAGCCCGGTGCTAGTTCGCCTACTAGTTTGCTTGCGAGGATTCCACCCGGGGTCTCAAATCCTGGCAAATATACACACGCGCGCGCGCACACACACACACACACACACACACACACGTAGGATGTAGTCACTATTTTCATCCCCATTTTACAGAGGAGTACACTGAGGTTCAGAGGGGACCTGGCCAGAGACTCAAGAAAGACGTGGGGGTCCAGGTCCTCATTAGCGCCTGATCCCGGGGGAAGGGGAGAGGGCGAGGAGCTGAGG